ACTAATGCAAAAAATAAGTGCCCGTTTTCTGCAATAATGGAAGCCTAAAATAATGCGTGGCAGTCTGGTATTCTAGCAGAGATCCCCGGCAGGTTTTGAAACTGCTTTGGAAAATGAACCCAGCATTCATAAAGCGGCAATTGTGGTTGCACTACTGACTACCCAGTGAACAATAACACATATGTACTCCGATGATACAGTCGTCACGTGCGGTTAGCGTCTACTTTATTTAGGCGCCAGCCAATGAAGTAGATTTACGTAGCAATGTCAACAGCTAACGTCATCTCGAGCACAAGTGGTACATATAACGCTTGTGCTTCAAGAGTTGCTAGCTTCATGTTGCTGTTGTCGTTTTCACGCAACTATATGCTACTGGTTATAAAACTCATACGCGTATATGAATGTGCGTACTACGTTTGTATATACATCTGCAAAATAGGTCGGGGAACGTGAGCGATAACCACAGTCTAATAAAACTACATCGCAACGTCATTTGACTTGGTGGGTGCGCATGCGCAACCTTTCATTTTCACAGTCATATCTTTTTACTTCCTTGCAGCGCACCAAGTGTTTACATCTAGCGTTGTGCCCAGACGTCGCTTTCCATTTTCGATCTGTGACGCGGCCAATTCGGCGGGGGCACGGTAGTGGTGAAGACTATGTGGCTCGTTATGCCTTGATTAAAAAGGTAGCGTCTCTTTTCTCAGTGGCGAACCAGTGCCACACACATCATTACGTCTCTTCTTGACACGTGCCTTGAGGAAAAGAGCGCCTGTGCACGTAACACCGAACACATTCTTGCTACGCACAACGCATTGGTTTGATCACAGCGAGGACTCATAATATTCATTTTATTTATTTACATCTATCTTGCGTTATGACTAGCGCAAAACGTTGATTTTTCGCGCTCTACTAACAACGCTTACGTAGATGCCGACATCAGAATTTCTGCGATAGCAGCTTTTAACACAGCGCGTTAATCACTGCCCTGCGTTATCCGCCAAGCGAGCCACGCGCATTTCACCACCACCGTGCCCTTGTCGGATCGAGCGCATAACGGATCGAATCTAGCACGTCACGAACGCGTTTAGAACCCGCTGCCAGTGAGTAAAAAATAATAATGTACAAATGAAAGAACGCACGTGCGCACTCACGACTAAAGATGGCGCGGCGATGCAGATTTATTGAATTACGGTCATTTCTCAAGCTCTGTGACCTATTTTTCAGGTGGGAGTACATCTCTATGGAGTAATTTCGTTAGGTATTATTCACAGTAAAAAACAAGACACTTACTTTTCCTCCGCATGCTTCCCATAACATCGATTTCCAGGGTACTTGGGTATGCCCATTTTTTGTCTAGCGCAAACCACGCGACAACCTTTCCCGGCGTGCAGATTTTCATCCGGGTAGTGACTCGATACCAGGAGGCCACAGGTCATGCTAGCCGGCATCACTGACCCCGCCTGTCCTCACCGAAGGCCAGTGACATACCCGAGCACAATGTCCGTCTGAGCCCACCTATTTTAGGCCGTGCCTCTCCACATCTTATGCTCTCAGGCTTGCACAAGAGTTTGATGTACTGTTGTGGCAAACGGCTGTTTACTCGGGCACTTGACTTGTGCTTTTTGTTTGATAGATCTAGCATCGCAGGCAGGCGTGGTTGAACGGTCAGTGCAATTTTCCCTCATGGCCTGAAAGTTCATAATTTTCGCATGGTGCTGAATCTGCCTTTTCTGCAGCTTGTGGGAGAGTGGAGGAACCAGGCCGCAGTGTATTCGAGGGTCCCACCAGTGGAGTATGTCGCATTTCCCCAAATGACGAGCAATCTCTGGAAAGCATTCCTTAAGATGCGGGATAAGCTTGTCACGTTATTATGTGCGAACTGTTTCTTTGCAATCTAGGGACAATTTAGGTGCTTCTATCTATCTATCTATCTATCTATCTATCTATCTATCTATCTATCCATATATTTATCTATCTATCAATCTATCTATCTTTCGATCTATCTATCTATCTTTCTATCTATCTATCTAATGATAGCTTCGTTACTATTGTACAGGCCTGAATCAGCATGGGATGGTGAGATCACTAAACGAATATGTTTGGCTCATCATGAAGGAAAGTTCTATTCATATTGGTAGTCTATCACTAGAAGCTGTTTTTTACGGTAATGCTGTGCGTTAAACGGCAATTTGTCCTAGTTTGGCTTGAGATTGGAGTTAAGTGTCACGTTATTACGTTGGTAATTTGCTGATAGTGAACACTGTAAGTACTGTTCACGTGACCGCCATATGACAATACAATATAATGTTTCTCGCAAGCAGTTTGAAGTACAAATATAGCTCTGTGAATCAATACTTGTCTGCAATGCTGAATGCCTAGTTTTGATTCCAGCTCTAATCCTGATTTGCAATCTTTCTTCGCGTAATTATAGTCTCACCAAAAACACTGCTAAAACTGCCCCACCATGGCGGTCTTGTAGCTAAAGTACTCGGCTGCTGACCAGCAGGTTCTGGGATCAAACCCCGGCTTTGGCGGCTGCATTTCCGACGCAGGCGTAAATGTTGTAGGCTCATATACTCAGATTTGGATGCGCGTTAAAGAACCCCAGGTGGTCAAAATTTCCGAAGCCCTCCACTGCAGCGTCTCTCATAATTATATGGTGGTTGTGGGACGTTAAACCGCACAAGTCAATCATCAATCAAAACACTGGCAATGCGTGCTCTACATTTTCTGCACTCAAGCCCCATAAAGTGATAAAACACATTATCTGAAGTACACAATCGTAGATGTTTGTTTCACATAAAGAGATAACAAGTATCTGTGGCTCCCAACCCTCGTCCTATGAGCTATGGTATAGAGATATGTTCACACGCTCAATAAAAAAAAAATACGCGTTTCGTTACTTAATGCGACAAGTACCTCCTAATTTTCAAGCCATGACCTGTTCATTATGTTCACCACTGATCTATGCCCTTGCATGGAAATCTTAAAATCCGTAAAATAAAAGAGACGACCACGAGCACGGCCTTAGGTAGGTGGTTAGTTACGTTCTCAGAAAGGTACTTAAAAGCATTAAAAGTGCACTTGGCTTGCTAAGCAATTGTTCCCAAACAATAGTGCCAAAATTTTATCGGAGAATAGGTGAAAGCCCTCTCTTCTAGACGTATACGTCGGGCACATACTCGTATACCACGGGGGGTAACCCATAGCTTTGCGCCGCATACAAATGGTAGTTCTAACACGAAGGGTGAGAACGGACATTGGTAATTGAAATACTATACCATGAACAAAGCCCGACGTCGGCAACCTATGTCTGAGGAATGGAATGAAAAATAAATTGTGTCATTATTTCTTGGTGCTGTCGTTGTACTGAATGGAGAGGAGACGCCCTTGATTGAATTCTGAAGGTGCCCTCCGCCGCTTATATACAAACCACCCACATTCGAGAAAGAGAGGTGTACGGGATAGAGGTCAGCAAAGATGCCCTTGACAGAATTCCGAACGCTTGCTCCGCTGCTTGAAGGCGGTTTTAAGATCACAAGCCTAGTACCCCAGAAAACTTCCGGGCAACTCATTTACTACCTCTTAATTTCAAAACTGATGGCACGTTCTCAAGTTTTTTTTTTCAAAAGTAAGGAAAATCTTTCTCTATTTTTTGCAATAAAAGGAACGGGCGTAAAGTTCAGGGGAACTTCTTATAGTTTTGTAGTAGTTCAAAAGAACATTCATTCGAATATATTTTGCCAAATAGAGGAAGAAAAGTGCAATACATCAGCGGGCTATTTCCTAAAGCTGTTGTAGCCCACCGATGCTAAATAAGCACACCAGTGAACGAAACCGAATGTCATCAAGGCGCGTGTTTGTAAACAGTGAAAGGGTCTATATACACATCGCCCACGTTAAAGAGAGACGAGACGAGGCTCGAGGCACGAGATGGAAGGTGCATGCGCAGAGGGGATGTGTACGGCGCCGTCGCCAAAGCGTGACACCGAGCGACTAATAAATGCTCCGCATTCAAAAATATCGTCAACTAAGTACGAATCGTACCAAAGCATTTCGATGTAGTTCTCTACGGCACATGTAGGTGAGCGTACTTTGCCTATGCTTGCATAATCAAAAGCAAACGGGGCTTCGAAAATGTTCAATGTGGCTGCAGACCTGAGCAGTTGTTTACATGCTATTGAGATTGTAGTGTCATGTCACTTTAGATCGAGCATTTTTTGATAAGGAGAAATTTAAGCCAGCCATTTCGCGCTGCGTGTTGCATCATTTTATTACCCCTTCCTCTCTCTTCTCAAACTCGTCCCTGGTCACTTCTACCATACATGTCGGTGAACCTCTATTCTGATGGATACCTATACGCTGTGAACAGGAATATACTGTCTAATAAGACATTGAAGCTGAACCTCCATTGTATATCTCATTCTGGGTCATAAATATACTGCACAGCTTTATATAGGTCTCTCACGCGAAAGGGCTCAGCATTTCATTGGTCTATACTGGTCTTTGAGATTAGATTTCAGCGTCACATACAGTTCGACACAACTTTTCGCCTCTCTTTCGTAATCAAGCCATACCAACGAGTGTGAAATCCTGACAGGACAATTGCTAAATATTCAACAATATATTGACAAGCATGTCCCTATGGGCGATTCATGCAGACTTTTGTTTATGAAGCGATATCTCAAAATGAGGATAACGTTCTTGAAGGTAGTTGTAGCCAATCATCGAGAGAGTCAATGTTCTACTAAAAGGAATGACACAGCCTCAATTTTATTAATGTATACCTTACGCAATCATATATCAGTAGCTTCCTTGATATTTATCATGTCATGTTCAGTAAAATTGTACATGTTATTCATTAGTGCATTGCACTGTGAAAGTTGTTCAGACTGCAATTAAAGTCGTCACAAAAATAGAAAAAGGGCTCCTTGCAGCTCGTATTCATGGTCAGAATATTATCATAAATGCCATCTTGTTTTTTTTCTTTGTTTTAGATGCCCAGGCTGTTACTAACTACACGTTTCGTCGTGTGATTAGGGACTGCGCTATTGTTTTCAAGGAAAAAGAAAAGAACAAAACAGGTAATGCTTTTAAGGCCAATATTACGCAATGCTTAGGGTGTTCCACGTAAAATCTGTAAAAAACCAACAAAATATGCCAAAGCATTTTGTAGTGTAATAGAATTTCCACGGAAAACAGTTGCTATAGACATGCAGACAAACGCACACGTATACGTACCCAACACTATGTCCATATTTGTGGTGCAGCCATGCATGTATGTGTTTTTAGTCGTGCTGTCAGCCCTAGAAGGGTCATTACAACATTCTATAAATAATAAAACACGGTCCAATAGGAAACGTACTCTTAGAACAAACACGAACATGATTTCAATTGCTCTGTTTGCTCTTTGTAGTGCGAGAGAGAGAAAGAAGATAAGAAAAGTAGGGCTGTGAAATAGACTAAGTCCAATTCACTACAATACACAAAGAACAGCAAAAGGAGGAAAGAAAACGAACAGCCGAAATATACTTTCCGAGACCACAGCGTGGCGTCATATCTAGCACTAAAAACGCCGAATAATTGGATAGGCGAGAATAGGCATCAGTCGAACAACCATTGGAGGCACTTCAGTACAGACGGCGAGCGTGTTTCTGTTTGATATCAGTGTGCATTGTGCAGCTGTACAGTTTTTTTTTGGTGTCCATCTCCTCACTGACCGGAAGGACCGTGAAAGGGTGGAGAGGCTCAGCCTTCCCATCACTAGAAAGGTCAAGCCAGGAGTTGGTTGTATAAACCTCCTTCTTTTCTCTTCGAACGTAATAAATTAATTTTCCCTTCGGCTCTCTCTCTCTGCCAAAAAAAGGCAGACCCCGCGTACAGTGAGAATCGATAATACACGAAGCACGAATAAGGAAGGTGGATATGTCACTAACACCCGCACAACGTTACAAGGTAGTGGTAAAGTCTGCGGTACATGACTTTATGTCATGATTATTATGTTTTCACGTGTCATATACCTTCGTTGTCTATTATCGTCACGTGATAAGAAATTTCGGTATATGTGGAGCTAGCGAAATGGCCGCGGGCATGCTATGAGCGAAGTATGTAGTCATGTTTTTCATGAAACGCATGTCATCATTATCATGTTTGGTCGTGTCCCTTACCTTCGTCTTCTGTTCGCGTCATGCAATACCAAATTTAGTATTTGTGAGGCTAGCGATCGACAAGGCCGCGAGATCAACATTATATTGCGTGGCATGTTTCCATGTTCTTACAAGACATGCGTGTCATGGTTATCTTGTTTGCACCAGTCATACACCTTCGTCATCAATTTACGTCTCATAATACCGAATTTGGTATATGTGAAGCTAATGAATGGCCGTGAGCGCAAAATGACCGTGGCGTGTAGTCACGTTCTTACATGACATGAATGTCATGATTATCAATTTTGCACCAGTCATATACCTTCGTCATCCATTCACGTCACGTAGTAGCAAATTTGGTATATGTCTAGCTAGAGAACGCCAGTGAACGCATTATGACCGTGGCGTGTAGTCTTCTTCTTACATAACATTCATGTGATGATTATCAATTTTGCACCAGTCATTTACCTTCGTCATCTATAGACGTCACGTAACACAAAATTTGGTATATGTGAAGCTGGTGAGACGGCCGCGAGCGCATCATGAGCGCAGCAGGTAGCCATGTTTTAGGGGCGAAGCTCTTCATGGCGTCACTTGTGCGTCATAATAGAGGACTCATAGGGCGCCTAAACAGGTAGTGGTATTATCGACGAGGAAACTTCCTTGCGCTTCCCCGGTAAAAAACATGCCGCTAGCGTGACGTGATCTCGTGCCATCGACTACTTTTCAGACAGCTCTCAAAGCCGTGGAAGCGGCTCAAGATTGTTGGTGAGCAAGACAATTGTATGGGCTCTTTAATTACTGTACTGGAGGAGTGACAAGCCCGACAGGAGCCGATACCTGCATGTTTACTTGCGATGGTAAACCTGGTACCACTCTTCGAACTACTCAACCTTATTGACGTAATAGTGTCTGCTAAGGGCACAGACAAGGAGACATGCAGCGGGCAGCAGCGCATACTTCCGACGTTTTTTGAAGTGCAGTCAGAAAAGCTCTCTGTGTGGTGGCTTGAGGGCACGTATGGCACATCTAGAGCTGCCAACAAAAGCTTGATAGTTAATGAGGGGCAGATTCGTGGTCACCCGAGCTGCATCACCGAAGTTGTGAGACTAGCATCTCTGATGCGCGGCAGATGCTTGGTCATCAAGAAGGAACTCTCAAGTATCTTTAAGTGCTCAAAACACACTTGTCTGTCTTGCACATCATTCCATCCACGAGCGGAAGGCAGTTGCTGGCCAATAGCAATCTTTTATTCTTGAGACAGCTATGGAGGGTGGCGAGAGAGTTGACGGTCTTAATTCACCTAAACATGTCGTCCCATAAGCCGCAGAACAAACGTACCGCCCAAACAGGCAACTACAATAAATTGATAGTCGAGAGCCTGGAAGTTCCACAAGTGGTCGCGATGACAAAATAGCACTGTGAGGACACGAATGGTTTCCCCAGCATTGTCAAATGAGGTGCCCGGTGCCCGGTGGGGGTAGTTCGTATAGTACGCGGTGGTCCTTGTGCACATGGCAGCGGGGTTCAATGCTATGGATGCGTGCACGGCGTCCCTTGTCGTGAACTAGTACAGGTGCAGTGCTGTGGAGCCACCGATGATGCCTAGACGCTGTACCACAACAGTGATGGCAGTTGCGGCAAGTGAATAGGTGCCGGGGAGGCATGGACGCCGTCGTCACATAAAAGATTACTGCGGCTCTTGCTTAGCGGGCGCCATGCACGAGGAAACGGAGACTTAATACTTCGTCTTCGTCAACTTCACAATTGTGGTAAAGTAAGCAGGCTGGTGCGGCTGTTCTTTATCCTCCAGTCATGTCCTTGCTAAATTGCCAGGCGAGGGCACGCCAGGGTTTGCATGTGTTGCGCTAGAGCACAAGCCTTTGAGCGTGCAGCGTGCATGTGTGTTTGTGTGAGTCAGTGTTTTAGGGGCGAAGCTCCTTCAAGCGGCACCCGTTCGTCCCTCGTAGTACGTAACATGTCTTACGCTTTGACCTCCAAGGGGGTGCCGGTGGGAGATTTCTCCTGTGCGTTGTTGAACAATAAAAAATTGCAGCGTTTGCGTTAACTAAAAGCCAAATACTTCTGTTTCTCATTCCCCATTAGCAGCCATTGGCATGTACATTAAGCAGTATCTGACAAGAAAAGGTTGCTACGTTATACTTGCTAGACGTAACATCCTTTGTTTTAGAAAGGTTTAGCGAGCGTTGGGCCGCAGTGCCATGAATACAGTGAACTAGTATATACCATGAACTCGAGGTGGTTAAAGGTGGGAAGTAGACACGAAGCGCCAGCCGTAAGAAAGTGTGCGTGTGCCACCTCTCGTTTAGTCCTTGGAATGTCTGCTGGATGGCGGTGCTTCTATATGCGGAATATATAATGAAAAGATGTGAGATTGTTGTACTTGGAGTGTTGACTAGATGGACGAATGGACACACAGACAGATGCAAGGACGGACGCACGGATGGCTGCACGAACGGATGGACGCATGGGCGGACGCAGGGTGGATGCACGGACGATCGCATGGACGGACGCATGGATGGACGTGCGGACGCACGTACAGGCGCACGCACGGACGGGCGGATGGACGCATGGGTGGACGCATGGATGGACGCATGGACGGGCGGAAGCAAGAACGAATACACGGACTGATGCTTCGCCCCACTCTCTATCATCCACCCCGTGGATATGCTGCAATTTTTTATTTCTTTTTTACCTTACGCGCGGCCTTATTTAACGTTTTATCAGGATATTTACAGGCAGTGACTGTGACAGAACTGGCAAATGGGGGTGTTTTTGTTTGATGCAACTATGAGTACATCGACCAAACACAGCTACGTCTAGATTATTTGCTCTGTATGAGAAAATAAACCATGTTCTTCCTCTTAATAATATATAGCTACTTTGATGTAGCGCCATATAGTGTTATGGTGCTCGTAGTTGAGACTGACTATCACTGACTAGCAATGTATCCTACTACTGATCAAAGGACAATGAATGAAAACTGAAGAATGAGGTCTGAAGAAACAATACAGTTGCAGCCATGCCGCCTTACTATCACGCAGTCTCCCAGAATTGATGCAAAAAATCATGAGAACAAGCCAGAAGGAATTGAAAAGTTTTCATACTCAAGAAATAATGACCGCGGCATGCAATAAGTCTTTATCCGTCCCGCCCTCGCTATCGCATCACTGAAGAGCACCGAGCGCTACTCATTTGAAACAAGAGAGCGCCAAACCAGATGCACTGGGTCGATAAACTTGCTCGCTAGGTATACAGCGCATGCGCAGCCCTTGCCTGTATTTATCCGCCGGTGCGCTTCGCGAGCGAGTGGTAGCCTAGTCAGTGTTACGAGTTATTCTGAGTGCGCGTCAGTGTTATCGGGGTTCAAAGCATCGGTTATTGATAAAATGATCCGCGCTAAAACGCATCGGACTTCATACACGCGACAATGAATATTAGAACAATATCGCTGGAGGCCAAGGAATTCAGCCAATTTTGTTCGCGTGCTCAAGCATAACAAATGGTTGCTGAATATTGTGGAGTGCTCCTAGATATTCTAGCGCGCACTGCACGAGATTGTAGGTACACTGTCAATATTTATGAAAGGAAGCACCACATGTTGATGCCGGCAATGTTACGCAGCTGTAAACAACTGGTATTATAAAGCATATATGGCTTTTGAACGTGCATATCTGTACGTTCTGTATGTCTGCATAATTTGGACACATCTTTGGCGTTTCACTAGGGCTAAAATTGCGATCAGAGGCACCTTTTCTCTTCGGGCTCAAAATAACTTGGGTTCTTATAGTTCGTGGGACCTGCCAATTTATTTTTCTCTCACCGATGACGTAACCGATGGTTTCAATAGATGTTCTGTATCACAAGCACCTTGGCAGCGTAATCTTCGTACTTTGTTTTGCGTGCTTCAAATCCGGATATTTTTATCTGAAGTTTTATGGTGCTTTGTCCTCTCACATGTTATAGTGCTTAATAAATAATTTTATTGGTCATGTTAACCTCACTTAATCTGCTAAGTATGTATTTGTTTTTCCTCTTACAGGTGTAGTTTCAAGCTGGGAGCTATGGGTAAACAATCTGTTCAACACCAGCTCTGAGTTCTGCAAGAAACAATACCTAAAGGTGTGCAAATGCGACCAACCCATGCAATTCAACATGAGTGACTGTGAAAGACAACAGCACAACCAGGAATCTTTTTGATAAAAATAAATGTCTAAAAAAGTTGTTGAACATAAGAAAATGATGATTCACTGGCACTAAATAAAGTTTTGAAGTTTTTTTCAGTTGTGAAGATTATTTGTGGTTTTATTACAGAAAGAAGGAGCAGGAGCAAAAGGCTGCGAAGGCCTAACAAACGGCTCCCACTCCGGTTGGCATTCAGCATCAGCGGTACAAATGGAAATACAAAATTCATCACACAAAGTTATAATAAATTAAAGGTCAAATAAGCAGTATACAGATCAAATGATAAATAATAGATGATAAAAAGTAACATGTAGGTTAAATCAAATCAATCAGGATAAGCAGCCCAGAATACAAACAAATATATACGTGAGAAACAGTAGTAAAATACATCTAATTATAACTCTCCAGAAAAAAAATTCTGACTTCAGTGAAATATTACGTAAGGAACAAGAGTGAATTGCATTATTCAGTTGTGAATTTCGCTATTGCGATACTTACCACACCAAATCAACGTTTCCTCTGTTAACCAAATAGTATCTCGTATCGGCAACATACTTCCTTAACAGGCCATCGTCCCTTTATCAGAACTTCTTGTGAATTAGAGATCAGCTGAGCTAATTTGGAACGCAGTTTGCAGCATCTTGGTGTTAAATATCATTCACACTTGGCGGAAACTGCTGGGTACTAGCCGGGTGGTGCGTGCTGTCGCATACGTGACTGCCATTCCACAAGACAGCTAATTGAATAACAGCTGCAATAAAAATATTATCAGCTTCTCGTTACCTGACCGCCTTTATTGGGGACAGGTTTGCTCTAAAATATGTGACAGGCTCACCAGACGATGAAATGTCCGCGATGGCTCACGGGGGAGTCAGGCGTGTAGTGTGTGAAAGTGTGGTACTTGTTCGATGACTTGCAGACTCAAAAAGATATGACAGAGGCAGGTAAAATTGTCCTGATGTAGAGCAAGGCGGCTGTTGATTCATTGTGGTGGTCATCTTTGCATCCTGTGGTGGACCTCGAAGAGTTCTATCGGCTTCATTCTGCACTTCCTTCCATACATCGCTGTCTCGTCCTGGGTGTGAACCAGCGTTGACTGGGTTCACCGGGCCACTGCACTCAGATCACGAGTGGAGCCCTGTGAACTGTCTAGTGTGTCAGGCCGTTATGTCGGCCACCTGTACGATCATGGACTAGCACTTTGTTGCCGTCGTTAAGGCATCAAGAAGAATTACGGTAACGACAATTGCAGCACACTCCACGTAAAAAGAATCACGAATTCAGCACGTATTTCTCGTGCGCTTGGTGCCAGCACACCCTACCTCTAAGGAACATTACGGCGCCAAACATTTGTAGAATCAATGTTGTAGCAAATCTGGCGACACACGTACAGGATGTGTTGGTATGCTGTGTTACCGCAATGAATGTAAAAATTCATGTTTCCGATAAAGTCTCTATGTATTATTAACACTTTTAGTGCTTCTAGGAGGGGGAGGTGGATGCAAAAAATTATCAGGAACAGGTGGGGACGCTTCCAAAATTGGCAGAGTGAGCAGCCAGGCGAATGGTTTTTTTTTCTTGAGGTATGCATGTCATAACTGAAACAGTTTTGGGTTGGGAGCACGGGTCTGCTGTGACAGCCCTTGGCTACGCCACTTCTCCTATGCCCACAAAGCATCAAAATAATACGAAGTAGGGAATCACAAAAGGGCTAACCCCGAGGAAGTGGCACTATGCATCAAAATTATTCCCATGGTTGCTGGCCTGGACTGCAGATTTTCTGCTCACTCATATGTATACGAAGGCAACCTGCTTCTCTCGATTCTGCGCCCGATCTCAATAGAGCTTCCAGCTTTACGATCGCTAGTTCATTGAGCCTCTGTCAATAGAACCTCGGCCAATAGAACGATTACAGAGCACCACTATTTTACGAAACTGCTTAGAAGAAAGAAGAACACTATACGAACGGCACATTGTGGAAGGAGTCTTAAACGCACGTACTAGTGCTTGGCAGAAGCCTGAAATCCGCCAGGCGTTGCCTTGCAGCGTCTGTCCTTGATAAAGAAATCGCAAGGCTGTGCTCTTCTTGGTGAGTTGTGCGAACTGCATTGTGTGCGGAACCATTGCCACTGATCCCACAGTGACTAGGTAGCCACTTAAAATTGGCCTCGTGACCTGTGTTTGTGACGTGTTGAGAAAACTTGACAATATCGTACGTTAATTGACTGATCAATTTGTAGGTTTTAACGTCCCTAAACCACCATACGAGTATGAAAGGTTCCGTAGTTGAGGGCTCCAGATATTCAGACCACCTGGGGTTCTAACGTGCACCCAAATTTGAGCACACGGGCCTACAACGTTTCCGCCGTCATTGGAAATGCAGATGCCACAACCAGGATTCGATCCCGCTACTTGCGGGTCAGCAGCCGTGTCCATTAACCACTAAACGACCGCGGCAGGACAATATCGTACGTTAGCTATTCATGGCAACCCTATCGAATAACTGAGCGCATGCACTGTAAGGCCAGTTTCCAGTGGAAAATACAGCCCAATAGCTTCGTCTCTGGGATGCGATACTCTAGGGCACTGCACAGAGCTGCAAGTTCTACCGCCGTAAATGTAGTAACATGTGACAGCTTGGTTCGCAGGGTTATCCTTTTGCGGTCATAACCACCGCACCACCACAACCAGACGTTGTGGTTGAACCATCATAGTATATGTGCACGCGGTTACTGTAAATTTCGAGCAAGAGGATCAGACTCATTTTTTTATACCTGCCGAAGACAACTGTGACTTCTTCTGCATTCCTGGAATTGTACGACGTACTTGTGGAACGGCCAGGCCGATTCCACCTAGATAATTTCAGGCCTGCTCATTGTTTCTGCAGTGGTCTCTGACGTAACTAAGTTTAAACTGGTGCGTTTCGCTACATAGATCAGCCTACGCTTGCTATCGTGGCTCGACGGACATGGATTACTAAGCCTGATGAAAGTTTTCGTGGCGTGCTGGCACGATTGTTGGTGACTCACGAGCGCGTTTTCCGGTGTTCGTGAACTGTAGCGTAGATATGTAATTCGCCTTTGTTTTGGATATTCGTAATCTGTACGGCTGCAAATCTTAGCGGTTGGGCTATTCTGCACAGTGAATTGCCGCGGCAAAAGAACGAAAGTTGCGAGTGTTGATTTGGAACGTGTCGTTCGTAGAGCTGACGTCTACATCCGTTTTCTTCGTGACCCGGAGGTACGTGCGTGCGTACTAAATATTTTTAAATCGTGGCACTATAGTGGAGACAACATGTTCCGTACTTGCACATAAATGAAGAGGTCATGTGTGCTTCTGACTTGTTCGCCTAAGAGCGATTGCATTAAAATAATAAACGCGCGTGGCAGTACAGTTTCCGAACAGGCGTTTTTTTTTCAGGGTCGGTAAACAAATTGCTAGTGCCAATTAGCACTGCGGGCTTCTTGTATTACATATACGTTTACTTCGTTGAGAAAAATAGAAGGAATGCTGTTGAATTGCTTAGTGTATCAGTTTTGTGCATGACATTTTATTACCGGTGTTTAAACCACTTTCATTCGGCATTATAATTTTGGGCCAGCCTTGCCAGACTCTTAGTCTAATATGTCTCCTTGAAATTGAATTTCGTGAAGACGCTTACAGTAAACCGCTTTTTTAAATGGTTTTCAGCTGTTCTCGTTCTACTTGAAGCTAAAAACATAAAAATCTCGAATCAAGTATGCAGATATAAGTACCAGCAGCGCAGTAGCAGTGCATACGGGGGCTACACGAATCAATCTAGATTCAGCATTAACACTTTTTCAGTGCCCTAAGCCATATTAGCCACTGTATACGCAACAGCGAGAGAGGAACCAGAGCAAAAGATAAAAAGCCGCTCCTTGTGACGGTCCCAAAAAATTTTTGTAAAACAAAAGATGTTTCTACTTTTGCGGAAATGATCAACCTTATTTTGTTCTGAATAACATACTTGTGGCAGAAGCACACGCTCTCCTCTGTAACTACGTGTCTACAAAAACTGGGTGTTCAAAGGAGTACAAATAAAACTGTAGAAACTTTGCAAATGAGTAGGAACACTTTCTCCGCGTGTTCCAGATAGTGTCTGTGTGCATGTGTGTGTGTGTGTTTAAATAAATAATGGTGAATAAAGTATGCCTTTTTTATTTCGTCACTTTGTTGGTACATCAAATTTGCTCCTCTGGATCAACCAAACGTTTCATAGCACACATTTTTCGACATTTCCATAGACCAAATGACCCGCATACAAATCTCCAAACGTTTTCAAGCGTAATACATTGCTTAACCAGTGACTTTTGGCGCAGAAGGTAGAATAAATATGTTAAGTTTGTAAAAGTCGCTGCGAACGCTTTATCTCTTAACGGGAGACGACGGATGCAATCAATTCACAGCCTCCCGTTCATGCGCTCGTTCCGGCAAGATGAGTGACGTCACGGCGGCAGTGAGCAGGCCTGAAAATATTTTTTGTGGTGGCATTGGTAAGGCACCACGGAGGATGCATCGCGGTGCCTGACTGCAGACCTGTAACCTAGCCTAAATTATGCACGATGATTGATTGATTAATATGTGGGGTTTAACGTCCCAAAACCACCATATGATTATGAGAGACGCCGTAGTAGAGGGCTCCGGAAATTTTCATCACCTGGGGTTCTTTAACGTGCACCGAAATCTGAGCACATGGGCCTACAACATTTCCGCCTCCGTCGGAAATGCAGCCGCCGCAGCCGGGATTTGAACCCGCGACCTGCGGGTCAGCAGCCGAGTACCTTAGCCACTAGACCACCGCGGCGGGGCAAATCATGCACGATGTGCAAAGACAACTGAACTAAATGCCGTACGGGCTCTTCAGTAGCGAGGCTAACCAAGTGGTGAGAATGGTTCCTAGCATATTTCCTTGGTAAGTAGGCATCGTTTCAACGGTGATGGGCGTCTTGATCGGGTAGTCCTGCACAGCAGCAATGGTTCGAGCCGTCGATGCACCGTGGGGTAAACCAAAGCATATCCTAAGAGCCTCGGCTTGTAGGTTTTGGATTGCGCGCAGGGTGATATGTTACATAT